TCTCCACGCTCCCCATGACAACAGGGACAAGCAACCCTGGCCCCAGCTCCAGGTGGGGAGAGACCCAGGGAAGGGCTGGGGGTGCTCCCAGGGTTTGGGGGAAAGAGGCTGGATCCTCATGGCTGATTCCTCCCTGTAGCAGCCCAAAGGCTGGGAGGGGCCAAAACTTGCTGCCCCTCCACCCTGCGCAGCCAAAGCCAGGTGTGCATCAACCCAAAATGTGCAAGGTTCACCCCAAAACAGTGTTTCTGTGAGACAGAGGCAGGCAGGGAACACACATACACACACACCCCTACCCCCGTGAGCTCCCCCAGCAAGGGCAAGGGGCCTCTCCCGGCTCCACAGGCAGTGAATGGAGTTCAGCATCTTCACAAGGAGCTGGAGAGAGCATTCTGGGGAGGGGGAGGGAGGAGGGGATGGAAAAGTGCTGAGCCAGCAGGAAACCTGCAGTGGGAGGCTCTGAGTCAGCCCCAAGCATAGTTTCACTGAAACCACCCTCCCCAGCCTCCACATAGCTCCAGATTCCTGGGAGACAAGGCAGAGGGTCTCTGCCCTCACACACGAGAGCTGGAGAGGGACTTTGGACAAGGGTCTGGAGTGATGGGACAAGGGGGAATGGCTTCCCACTGCCAGGGGGCAGGGTTAGATGGGATGCTGGGAAGAAATTCTCTCTGAGGGTGGCGAGGCCCTGGTACAGGTTGCTGGACACTTCCATCCCTGGAAGTGTTCAAGGCCAGGTTGGACAGGGCTTGGAGAAACCTGGGACGGTGGAAGGTGTCCCTGCCCATGGCAGGGGTGGATCGAGGTGAAGTTTAAGGTCCCTTCCAACCCAAACCATCCTGGGATTCTGATTCTATGGAACTAAGGCCCTCTGAGAGCCTAGGCTGGAGAGGGGGAAGCTGAGGCACAGAAGGGAAGGGAGCCAAGGCACAGTGAATCCCCTGGCTTTGCTGGGCCTTGGAATAAGGCTGGATATGGGAGCAAGGCTGGTCCCTGGCACCAGGAGAGGGCAGGGCAGGGCTGAGCCCAGCGCAGGGTTCCCAGTGGGTGCTTCACTGGTCAAGAAGGTGAGTTCATCCTCTGCATCAGCTGGATCCACTGACCTTCCTGTTGGAGGTAGGGTGTGATGGGGAAGAGGTTTTTCCCTGAAAAACACCTTGGCACAGGAACTGATCGATTCAAACCGAAAGACAAACATCTGAGGGCACATTCCAGGGAGGCTGCAGCAGCTCCTGAGCTGCACGCGATGACTCCACGTCCCAGGGGCTGCTGTTTCCCGACAGAGGATCAGGATCGTGTGGCCAACACATGTTTGGAATCCTCAGCTGCTGGAGCCAGTGCCAGGCTGGGCTTTACTTAAAGGAGTGGCCACGGGGAGCTGAGACCTGGCTCTGGGGCTTCCCCTGGGAGGGATGTCTTACAGTGACCCAGCTTAGGGGGGGTCCAAAGACATTCCATAAAACATGACAAATAACATAAATGGCACATTCCACCGTCCTGCCTGAAGCAAACTGAAGTGAATCCAAGGGACAGGCTGGGAGATCCCAGAGATACAATTCCCATCTCCATGCAGGTATCCCCTGCTGGGTTTCCCCCGTCCCAGCCCCTCATTGATGGCACTGGGAGACTCCAACAAACCCCTCTCCCGCTCCCCTGCACTTGCTCTGCACAACGGAGCACTGAGGAAACAGATTTCCAGGCTCCACTGACCCGGCTCTCCCAGTGCACAGACCAGGAAACATTAGAAGTGAAAAACAATTCCTCAGCCAGGACCGAGGCGTTTTTTTTTCCCTGGCTCTCACCCAGTTTTCTCTGCACAGTTCCAGTTCTGGTCCTGCCCTGACTCACAGACATATCTCCCTCCTCCAAGGCCCGGAGAGCAGCCCCAAGCTCCAAGTTCTGGTCGCTCCTGGCTTCCCTCTTCTCCTTGGCAGAGCCCAGCTGCATCCCTGCCCCATCTGATGGAGCAGCACAGGGATCAGTGGTCCCAAGGTGCTTCAGAACATACATCCATGTCCCACTTGAAACCATGGAATCATGGAGTGGTTTGGGTTGGAAGGAATCTTAAAGCTCACCTGGTTCCAACTCCCTGCCATGGGCAGGGGCACCTTCCTCTAGACCAGGTTGGAAAGTAGTTTGTTTCCCAGATGGGCCTTTTCCAGCTCTTCCCTCTCCACCTGGTTCTGCAGGTCCTGAGCCTTTTTCATGAGAACAACCAGGAGGGTTGACTTGTCATCGGATTTTTCAGACATAATTAGTCATCTCCCCCCAAACTCCATGGAAGGCATCTCACCTGGGGAAACAGCTCCTTGCCAGGGCAGGGATGGTGCCACAACAGAGCAGCTCCGGGCTCTGGGCACCAGGTACACGCTGAGCTGGCAGACAAGGGGGAAAAAACACTCATGGGCTTGGCAGAGGCTTTGGGGTGGAAGATCCTCTGGTCTCAGGAGCATCCAGAGTGATGCAACATGAAGGTGGAATGGGCAGGGGTTCCCTGGGGAGTTCAGCAGCCCATTCCTGCTGGAAAGGCAGAGGTGGTAGCGATGAGAGGCCAGCAAGCAACCTGAGCTGAGAGGCTTTGGCTTGTAATAAATCGGTCCTCAGCCTTCCAGAATCCCCCCCCCATGTCTTTTGGGGTCCCCCCTCCTTCTCCCTGCTCCTGCAGCTTTGATCTGAGGGGGTTCCAGTGCAGCTCAACGGGGGACAGGGAACAGGGGAGTGCAGCCCCCAAACTACAGCAGTGTGGCCTTTTTTGTTTAAAGAGCAAGAGACAAAACCTTTCTGCTACCCAGAAAATGCCAAGAAACCCACCAGCCTCCTGCCCATCCTCTGCCTTTGCCCATCACAGCCCACTGGAGACATTCAGAGACACTGGAGACACGGTCCAGTAACTGATTAGATCCGTGATGCAAAGGCATTAGTACAGCCTGGCCAAAGGCTTTTACAACAGCAACACAAGCTGATAAAGTGACTCATTGCGCCCTTTCCCACATCTGGGAGGTCATGAGGGCAGGTCAAAGGGCGCTGCATGGAGTCAGGGACGCCTAGAGGCAATCAAGAGCAGCTGCTGCCACAACCAGAGCCCAGAGTGCCCAGGAAAGGACATAGAGAGGGGTCCAGAGTCACTCATGGTGACCTCACAGGCTCCAGCTCAGGCAGGAGGAAAGGCAGGAGCTGCCAGAGCCTTTGCCATGCTCTGCCCCATGTACGACCAGCTCAGACATTGGGGCCACCCACTCCCCTCCCCACACCCCGAGTGGTGGCTGCGTTTGGGGACAGGCAGGGGACCAGCCCTGAGCACCCCCTGACAAGGGGCATCTCCTCATGTGCTGGGGGGAGACCCCCAAACAGCCTCATGTTGCCTCACCATCACCCCCTGACCCACGGGAGGGTGGGCACTCCCCTCTCCTAACATGGCAAAGAGCCTGGTAGTGGCACACAGACACCAACACCATCCCTAAGGGAAAAGAAAGCAGAAAAGTAGGACTGGAAGGATGCTGGGGAGGTTTTTCTTCAAACTCCTGCCCTGGCAGCTGAGAGAAGGGACAATTCCTGTCCCCCCACCCAAGCCCAAGGTGCTTAGAGACCTGAGAGGCAGATGCTGCTTCCCCTCAGCCCCACAAAGCTATCAGGAAAAGAGAAACTGGACCTGCTCCTTCTCTTTGAGTTATCCCAGAAAATCCAGGCTTAAGGGCCAAATCCTGAACCGACGTTACTCCTGAGGTATCACAGATGGGTTAGAGCCCATCATGGATCACAGCCTGGCAGAGCTTTGGGTCTCAGCTCTCACCAAGGAGAGCAGCACCGAGGGGTCCCCCATGGGGGGTCAGCCCTGGGGGGCTCAGAGGAGCTCTGGCTTCACAGCCACATCTCAGTGACATGTCCCTGTGAGCTGCAGCGCTGGCCTGGAGACACTGAAGGGCCAGATGTCCTGGGGACGGGATGGCCCATGGGGCAGATACCTCCAGGGTGGTGCTGGAGGTGTCTCACCCACCCCCACCTTTCTGTTTGCTTTCCAAATTACTCCATGTTTCCATTGCAGAGTGATGGGAATGTGACCCACCTGCAGGACAGAGCTCTCAGGGTGCACAGAGGGCAGCCCTGTGCCCAGTCCAGGTGGGCAGGGTGGGCACATTCCCCCAGCATGGCCTCCAGGACATGCTCAGCAGCACTTCCCCCCTTCCTGCAAACCTGCACCTCGCTGAGCCTTTTGTGGTGGCCAGAGCTGACATGTGGCCCACCACCTAAACCCAGTTTAGGTCATGTCCCCCCCCAGCTCTGAGACCTTGCCCTGTTCTCAGCCCAGGCAGCACAGGAGGGCTTCTTGCTGTCTGGAGCTCTGTGGGGTCACCCCAGCAGCACCCACACTGCCCTGTGACGGTGGTGTGAGGCTTAAACAAGAATCATGGAATGGTTTGGGTTGGGAGGACCTTAAAGCCCAGTTCTACCCCCTGACCTGGGCAGGGCCAGCTCCCACTATCCCAGGTCATTCCAAGCCCCGTCCAACCGGGCCCCGAACACTTCCAGGGCTCGGCCAGCCACAGCTTCTCTGGGCAACCTGTGCCAGGGCCTCGCCACCCTCACAGGGGTTAATATCCCATTAACGCCAGCCTCTGGCAGTGTGAAGCCATTCCCCCTTGTCCTGTCGCCATCCGCCCGTGAAGTGTCACTCTGCGGCTCCCTGGGGACGCGCAGCATCCCCGCTGTTCCACGGCCTCGCCCTGTTCCCTGGGCCCCGCTGCCCCTGAGCCGCAGCCCCGGGGCCACCGTCGGTCCCCGTGTCAGCGCTCAGTCCCGGTGACACCGTCAGTCCCAGTGTCACCGCTCGGTCCCGGTATCACCATCAGTCCCGGTGTCACCGCTCGGTCCCCGCGGAGGCCCCGCCCCTCCGGCCGCAGGTCCCGCCCCCAGACACGCCCCCTCCAATCGGCCTCGCCCCGGCCCCGCCCCCGCGGTCGCTGCCGCCGCCGCCGCTCGGTGCCCGGGACAGGGGTACCGGGACAGCGGGACCGGGACAGCCGGACCGGGCCGGGCCATGGCCCCGCACCCGCCCAGCGCCGGGCACTACCTGCGCTCCGACAGCGGCGGCTCGGAGGCGCCCATGCTGGCGGAGGGTCCCGGTCCCGGCCCCGCTCCCGGTCCGGACGGCGGCCCCGGGGTGGTGCGGGGGCAGCGGCGGCGGCGGTGCGGTCCCCTGTGGGGCAGCGTGGCTATCATGGCCATCCTGGCAGTGCAGATCGCCTCCACCACCGGCCTGTTCGTCTACTTCACCATGGCCATCTCCAAGGTGAGCTTTGCCCCGAGACCCCCCGCCCCGTTTTCCGGGGGGGGGGCCGGGACCGGCGGCGCGGCTGCGCCCCCGGGAGGGAGTGCCGGTGGCTGCGGGAGAGCTCTCCCCGCTCCCCGCTCCGCGCCTCTGCCCGCCGGGCACGGCAGCGACCGGCGCTGCCCCGCCGAGGATCCAGATGTGGGGGCGGGAGAGGAGGGCGGGCACTGCCCCGGGCACCCCGGGAGCCGCAGATCCAGATGTGGAATGGGGGGTTGAGACCGTCTCCAGCTCCACGGGGAGCCCCGGATCCAGATGTGGAATGGGGGGTTGAGACCGTCTCCAGCTCCACAGGGAGCCGCGGATCCAGATGTGGGGGCAGGGGAGGGGGTGGACGCTGCCCCCGGCCCCCCAGGGAGCCGCGGATCCAGATGTGGAATGCGGGGTGGACACTGCCCGAGCTCCGCCCGGAGCTGCAGATCCAGATGTGGAGGCGAGGAGGGAGGGGTGGACACTGTCGCGGATCCATATGTGGAGAGACGGCCCCTTTGTCCTGGGCTCTGCCCTGGAGCTGAAGGTCCTCACTGGGAGGGGGGCCCTGCCCTGGGGTCCCATCAGAGTCTCCAGCCTCAGAAGTGGATGTGGGGGGATTTCCTTGGGCTCCGGGCCCAACCGACCCCTGGTTCCTGCTTCATCTTAATCTTCCTCCATTCCCAACTCTTCCACGCTCCAGGACCCCCAAATCCTCCTCAACCCGCTCTGTGAAATGCTGGGACCCCCATACCAGCACCACCCCCCCATTCCAGCAGCTCTTGTGCTCTTGCTCCTGCGCAATCCCAACAGCTGTGCTGGGATCCCGCCATTCCCACCTCCCGTGGGGTCACTCGGGCCAAATCACTCACAAACTTGGCCATGATCCTGCCAACGCCCTCCCAGCCGCTGATTCCAACCCACAACAACCCCCCAGCAGCGTCAGGGAAACACCAGACGAGAGATCCACGGGGAGAGGAAACTCGGGGCTGCCGTGGAGGGCACCCTCATCCCTGAGGGTCCAGCAAGAAACGAGTCCTGCAGTGCCAGACATTCCACAAACCACACCGGAGACAGGGAAAAGGGAAAAGCCCAGCCCGCGGAGGAATAAACAGCCTGTCTGGAGCATCCTTTGGAGACGGCTCCAGCCCTCCTTTGGGCTTTGTTTCCATCCCTGAGTCACGTGTGGTGCCTCTGTGAGGGATTTACATGAAAGGCGCCACATGAAAGGCGCCGGAGAGAGCAGGCGAATGAGGGAGACGGAGCCCCGGGGAAGAGCTGAAGGGAGGGGGAAACCACGGAAATGGACCGATTGGGGCTGATTTCAGCGGCCGGTCACTGGATCCCTCCTGAGATCTGTGCTGGGAACAGGGAGTCAGTCTCCTGGAGCCTCTTTAGGCCCTGGAAGGGGCTCTAAGTTCTCCCCGGAGCCTTCTCTTTCCAGACTGAACACCTCCAGCTCTCCCAGCCTGGCTCCAGAGCAGAGGGGCTCCAGCCCTCGGAGCATCTCCGTGGTCTCCTCTGGACTCGCTCCAGCACCTCCCCGGCCCGGGCTGACCCCGGTTCCGCGGGCACACTCCATAGTCAGCGCTCCGGGCAGCCCGGAGGTGTGTGCACTGCCCTGCCCGAACACGCACCCGCCGCGGGGATGCCACGGGAACAGCCCCATCCCTCGGGATTCACTGCCTTGGCACCACCCGGCTCCCACCTGGGCGGGCAGGTGTGTGCAGGGAACACCCTCCGGGGTCACCCGCAGCCCATCCACAGGGAATTGTGCCCCCCTGGCAGGTCCAGCCAGGGGCACAAGAGTGCAGAAAGGAACCCAAATCCCTTCAATCCGACATCACGTGGCTGTCCTGCACATACAGAGTCTGTATTGATCCCAGTATCCTGTGGGATAGAGGCTCTATTGATCCCAGTATTCTGTGGATCTAGAGGCTGTACTGATCCCAATATCCTGCAGATCTAGAGGCTTTATTGATCCCAGTATTCTGCGGATTAGAGGCTCTATTGATCCCAGTATTCTATGGATTTAGAGGCTGTATTGATCCCCATATTCTGCTGATAGAGAGGCCATCCTGATCCCAATATTCTACGGATCTAGAGGCTGTATTGATCCCAATATTCTGTTGATATAGAGGCATAGCCACATGTAGATGGGATATAGATCCTAAAGGTGAGCACATACTGGTGTGAGGCAGTGAGTACCCACAGCTGTGAAGGGCAGGGGTCTGGGGGTGTTGGAGGTGGCCAAGCCCTGGGTGATGACCCAAAGCCTCCTGGGTGTGTCCTGGGATCTGGGAACCCCCCAGGTGACAGAGGTAGGGTGGCCAACGTGCCAGTGTGTTCATTCCCAGCTCCTGGCACACTGATTTCAGGGCAGCCATTCCATCTGTGCCTCAGTTTCCCCATGCCCCAGACAGCAGCACAGTGTGGGGTGACCCTGTGGCCACCAGTTGTGATGGTCACCACAGCCACACCACAGAGCAGAGCCGGGACAGCCCCGGGACAGCTGGGGAAGGGCAGCTGGCCAGGGAAAGGGAAGGCTTCCCATCCCAAACCACAAGCCAGCACGGGGAAGTGCCTAAGACCTGCCTGAGCTGCCCTGGCACTGCTCAGGGTCCCAGCTCGGCAGTTGGAAGAGCCAAGCTGTGCCAGAGCTTGTTTTGCAATCCCAGCTCAGGTCGGGAAGCAGGAGGAGCGCAGCCCTGGCTGCCCAGGCACGTCCAGCCTCCTGCAGCAGCTCGTGCCTCCCGGAGCCCACGGAGCCGAGGCTGGTGGGGCAGCTTCTGCCCCAGAGCAGTGAGCACTTCCTGGAGCTGGAGAAGCCTCGTTTTCCCCAGGGGAGGGAGGAAGAGATAAAGGAGATGGATAAGGGGAATTTTGGGTTATTTACTTGGTGCTCTGTGGCTGGTAAGAGTCCTTGAGTCCTGCCTCCTCCTCCGCCTCCACCTCCCGCTTGGCGTTGGAACTCCATGAAAGGGGCTGGAGTGCTTCCAGAAGCACTGGGATGGGCTTCTGCAAAGGATCACGGGAGGACAAGATGAGATTTAGCATGTCCAATCCACAAAAAACAGAACTTTGACTGAACTCAGATCCACCCAGCCTCCTACCGCCCCCTCCATCCCACACAGGAGACGCAGCTGGGTTTGCATCCTGGTGGTGCCGCCTGTCCCGCTGCCAGCTCTGGGATTGGGGCAGCTCAGGGTCATTCTCTGAGCCCCCCTGATGCTGGAGGAGCCAAGCTGAAGGTGGCTATCCCGTGTCCATGCCCCACCGGGATCCCCCACTGCTCCCTCCATCCATCCCAGTTTGACATCCCCATTTGTTTCCATCCCAGCTGAAATCCCAGGCTCCGGGGAGTGCAGAAGAGCTGCGGTGTCTGCAGATGCTCAATCAGCAGCCCGAGGGCTCCAGCCTGGAGGAGCTGAGCAGCAGCCAGACCTGCCTCAAGCTGGCCAGCACCATCAAAGCCTACGTGGCCACGGTGAGCCCGGGGACCAGGGGAGGATGGGAGAGCTCCTGGCTGCCCCCCTGCCTCAGTTTGCCCATCCACCTCACTGCAGGGGTGGGAGGGGGGGAATGGCAAGGATGGTTTAAGGAGGGGGCTGGACCCAGGCCCTCCACAGCAAGGAGATGGTGGGGCACAGAGACAGTGTGACAAACAGGGTGACGGGGGCTTGGAGGAGGAGCTGGGGTGTGGGAAACCTCTGTTTCACCTTTAACCGTGGCACCTTCTCCTCTCTGTGGCCCAGGTGACAGAGAACATCCTCCGCAGGAGCACGGTGAAGGGTGAGTCCCTCTCCCAGCTCTGGGGGAGCAGCTGGAGCCGGGATCCACGTGCACACACCGGGATGTCAGCAGCGTGGGGGGCTGGTGGGCTCCAGCCCTGACTCTGGTGCTGTGAGCTGGGCGGGAGAGGGGAGAACCAGGATTGTCCCACTGGGTGGTGAAGGGCACACGTCCCAGGAATGGGCTGGAGGGACAGCCATGTCCATCTGTCTGGAGTCCAGGGAACCAGGGCCATGGGATAGCTCAGACACGTTAGATAATGATTGACAAGACCCCGAATAACCTTCCTCTCTGATGGGTCAGTGGGGCATTTCCCTGCCCTGCTGGCACAGGGCTGGGTGTCCCCATGCTTGGTCCTCTACAGCTGACTGTCCCTGTCCCACAGAGGCCCGACGGAGCTACTTCAACACCTCAGAGGGGCAGGTTCCTCCTAAAACAGCCGGGAAGCCCTCGGCACATCTCACCCTCCGCCAACAGAGCCTGACCCAGGATGGTGAGTCAGGGCATCCTGCTGGGCACCAGTGGGTTTCCAAGATGGGAATGGGGAGAGGACTCCCCCAAAGGACAGGGAAGTCGGGGAGCCCCACTGGGCACCGGGTGGTCTCCGAGATGGGAACAGGGGAGAGACCTCTCCCGAAGGGCAAAGGACCAGCATGGGAGGAGACGTTTGGTGGCAGATGGGGACCAGTCCAAAGCCACCTTCTCCACCCCTCCGGAGTGGGAGAGAGTTAGAGCCACCCCCTCCCCTTCACCTGAACCTGCTCCCCTCAGTGACGGTCCCTTCCCCCAGGAATCTCGGAGCGCTTCGGGAACCTGTCGCAGTCGTGCCGCCACGCCATCACCCGCTGGGAGCACAGCACCCTGCACTCCCACCTGCAGAACATCACCTACCGCGCCGGGCGGCTCCGTGTCGAGCAGCCGGGCAAGTACTACGTGTACTCCCAGATCTATTTCCGCTACCGCAGCGCCGGCGCCCAGGACTCGGGCCCGCAGCTCGTGCAGTGCATCCAGTGGCAGCCACCCCACAGCCAGCCCATCCTGCTGCTCAAGGGCGTGGGCACCAAGTGCTGGGCGCCCGAGGCGGACTATGGGCTGCACGCGCTCTACCAGGGCGGACTGTTCGAGCTCAAGGCCGGCGACGAGCTCTTCGTCTCCGTGTCCTCCTTGGCCATCGACTACAACGACGCGGCTGCCAGTTACTTCGGGGCCTTCCGGCTCGACCTCTGACACCCCCTCTGCTCCCACCTGCCCGCTGATGCTCCCACGTGGCCCCGGGACGGCGGCCCAATGGCCAGGGGGTGGCACAGGGCCCTTCCCAGTGTGTCTTGTCCTTTGCGGTGAGGGACAAACCAAAGAGGGCATGAGGAGCGGCTGCCCGCAGGGACCTGCTATGCTTGGGGCCACCATCCAGGTGGAGAGCCTGGAAGGGTTCCCAAGGACCTACAGGGGACATCCACGATGGGAGACATCCCAGCCCTGGTGGAACATCACCTCCCAGTGGCTCCCTGCAGCAGGAAGGGCACCAGGGCCACACCCGCCATGGCAAGACACAGTGTCCCCGTGATGGGGTGACCCTCCATGAGTCTGACCCCACCTCGGGCAGGGGCAGCCCCAGCTGGGCTGTGGGTGCCAGGGACCCTGGGCTGGAGGTGCTGGGGCAGCAGCTGGGGTGAGCAGGGAGCAGCAGCAGCACAGGGGGCACAGGGCTGGCACCCCCAGGCCACTGCCTGCGGGGACGGGGCAGGTCTGGTGTCAGCCTCTGGAAAAGGAGTGAACGAGTTTCGGTTTGGGCAGATCAGAAACCTGGGGCCACGCCAGTGATGGGCTCGAGAGAGGGCAAAGAGCAGGACGGCGACGTCGGAGCAGTCGCCAGCCCCGGCACCGCACCCGGCACGTGGCACTGGGGAGTGTGGTGCCCCAGCCAGGCTGCACAGGACCAGGAGCTCTCCATCACTGCTGCCCAAGCACCTCTTCCCTTGGGGATTTTGTCCCCCCCAGCCCTGAGGGACCAGCGCAGCCCCCGCTTCCTCACCCCTCCAGCCCTGGCAGTCCCTCACCTGCAGGATTCCAGCACCAGGTGAGCCCGGAGGTCATGGCAGGACCTTGGAGGGACCAAACCCACCCCAGGTGATGGAGGCCACCTCAGAGGCCAAAGAGGGGTTCGGGCAGGGCCCAGCCCAAGGCCCAGCCAGACCCCAAAGTGCCACAGTGCGTCCCCACCACGCCATGGCCGGGCAGGGGCTGCTCCTGGCTCCTGCCATTGCTCCCACAGCTTTCCAGGCCTGACCCCCCACCCTCTGCATCCTTGGCTGGGCCTGGGGGGCTCAGCCAGGTGGTTCCCACATCCCTCCACACCCCCAGGTGTTGGGCATTCCCACTCACCAGCCCCCATCTCCTGCAAGTTCCTGCTCCAGGGGGACTGATACAACCCTCCCAGGGGCACGGTGCCAGCCTGGCACCCAGAGCCTCCAAAATCTCATCCAAAGCCAGAGAGCACTGAGAGCATCCTCTTGCTGCCTCCAAAGGGGTCACAGGGCTGATCCCCCCATGGCAGGGCTGCAGGGTCCCATATCCCCAGTCACCATGGGGGGAGGGAGGGACAGAGGGGTGGAGGGATAGAGGGAGCTGAGCTGAGCCTCAGCTCTGCAGCACTTGGCCCTGGAGCACGTTGGGCTCTTGCCCAAAGCAAACAAAACCCGAAAGCGCATTCCAAACCCCTCCATTCCAAAACCACGTTGAAAATGATCCCTTTCCCTCCACCTCTCATCCCACCTCCTCCTGTCCCAGCCCCCTTGGTGACCCCAAACAGGAGTGGGGCTTCCAGGGCTCTTGACATCCCCACCAGTCCCAAACTCCCCCCTTGGTGAGCACTGAGCTCATCCCGGCTCCGCATCCTGGCTCCTCTGGCAGCAGCCATGGGAGCTCAGGGCTGAACCAGCCAAGCCAGGGCTGCAGGAAATGCAGCAGGTGGTTCCAAGATTTCCTTTGAAGGGGGGTTTAAAGTGGACATGGCCCGATGGAGCCAGCAGGAGGTTGTGTTTGCCGGGAAGGAAGCAGGGAAAGCAGCCCCGCGTGCGTGAGCGGGGAGAGCCGGGCCCGGCGCCAGCGGGCCATGGGCCACTCCGCTTTCCTGGAAAGGAGAGGGCTCGTGGGTGGATGGATCAGGGAAGGAGAACTCCACCAGCGTCAGGGCAAAGAGCAGCCTCACCCTGTCTGGGGAGAGATGAGTGGTACGAAGAGAGACGGGATGGAATTCCTCTCTGTGAGGGCGGTGAGGCACTGGCACGGGATGCCCAGAGCAGCCTCAGCCCCCCCTCTGCCCCTTCCGTAGTGCTCCCAGCAGATGGGCTCAGCCTGGCCAGGGACATGCAGCCTGGCTGACTGTTCCCACCTGGACAACACGTGGATTGGTGGCAGCAGAAAAACCCAGCCTCCAGCAAAACCTCCCTGCACCAACGCTGCCTGCCCCAGGACGTGCTCCAGGGAAGAGAGAAGAACAAAGTGTGGAGAGACCTGGGTGAGGATGCAACACTTTTCTCCAGCTGAGGAAGCAAATAAACCAAAATGTGGAAGACTTCTCATAGAGATTTTTTTTTATTCTTAAAGTTGTTTATTAAAAAGACATCTCGCTATTTTGAGTATTCCTGACAAGTTCACTGTAGCTCCTATTGGAAAGTCAATGGTCACTAAATCACCTTTGCATCAAAGGATTGAGCAGATCCTGCTACATCCTTCTCAAAATCTGTTTTCTTTAGGGTTTTTTTAAAGACAAACAAGAGTAGAAATACCACCAATGCTTGAGGTCCTGGAAGGAGGGGTGTGGTGGAGCCACAACAGACATTTGCTTTCAACAGATTCATTACTAAATAATGTCACAACAGTTCCCTTATTTGGGGAAACTCTTTATTTCTGGCATCACCAATTCACTTCATTTGCATCTAACTCAGTCTGGGGAACAATGCAGTCACCTCAAATACTTCTACAAACATAGTGCCCAAAGTTTCACCTGGTACTGCACTGTTGGACATGCTCAGCAGCAGCAGAGGCCGTGGCCTTCCCCCTGGATCCCAGCCAGATCCCTCCCTGCAGCTGAGGGCAGAGCTGGGTGAGGCCAGGGCAGGTGGGGACGTGCTGTGGGAACACAACACGTGCCCTGGGGGAACAGGAGCCTCGGTGCAGGGACCAAACCTCTCCCACAGTGAAAGTTTGGCTTTCCAGTGCCAAAGACAGGGCAGATCATCCCACACAATCCAGGGCTGCTTTCCCAGTGCCTCCTGTGCCAGCACATCCCTCCGGCTCAGCCATGCAGATAAAATAATGAAATTCCCCAAAACCGAGAGCTCCAGCTCCCCAGGCAGCACATCCTTGTGGTGACAGCTCCAAGAGTTCCCAATCCTTCCTTGATAGCCTCGGGCCAAAGGAGGGCAGGGTTAGATGGGATACTGGGAAGGAATTCTTCCCTGTGAGGGTGGGGAGGCCCTGGCACAGGTTGCCCAGAGAAGCTGTGGCTGCCCCTGGATCCCTGGAAGTGTCCAAGGCCAGGTTGGACGGGCTTGGAGCAACCTGGGCTAGTGGGAGGTGTCCCTGCCCATGGCAGGGGGTGGCTGATCTGTAAGGTCCCTCCCAACCCAAACCATTCCATGAGTTTATGATCCCCTCCTGCTCTAAACAGAGCGGTGGGGGGTCACTGCTGCACTAATAACAATTCCACATTGACCTGATTTCTCATGGCCTCTCCACGTGGATTCGATCCAGGCAGAAACTGCTTCCTGCAGCCACTGACAAAGGACCCTCTTATCTCCCCTGCAGAGGAGCTGCTTTTACCTCAGTGCAGAGGAGCCCAGCCCAGGGCGTTCACGGCCCCGACCCTTTGTCTCTAAATAAATCCTGCGTTCAAAGGCTCTTTTTTTTCCCGTTTGTTGTTACGAGCCAGCCTCATCACCACCTCCAAGCCTCCATCTCCTCCCAGACAAGATCTTGTTTTACTTTCAAGTCCCCAGCCCGCCCCGAGTTTGTGGCGGGAGGAGGAAATCCACTCCAAAAAACACGTCACCGCCCCGGGAAATCATTCCTCGGGACATTGTAAATAAAGCACACAAAGAAAGGCAGCGGGGTGTGACCCCAGCATCGCTGCTGGCGCCCCACGCTCTGCCCCAGGGTGCGCAGGGCACCTCACCAGCCACCGCTCCCCCCCGGGCAGTAATTCAGCCTGGAAAAAGGGAGACAAAAACAGAAACCTTTTTGCTACAGCACGAAGGATTCGTGGAGTTGCAGGAGGCAGGATGCTCGTTAAACCCTCGGGAAAACATTAATGCTGGGGCACCGTGACCAAGCAGAGGGGACCCAGTGCTGCTGCAGTCAGGAGCCCGAGTTCATCCATCACGGAATCACACGTTTTGGGTTGGAAGGACCTTTAAAGGCCATTTAGTCCGATCCCATCTCAGCTATGCTGCTCCCAGCCCCTTCCCCGAGGTCCCACTGAAGAAATTAGGGGGATTTCTTTACTGCGCAGGGGGTTTCTCTCCTTTTCCAGTGCCAGTTGCCTTTCCCTGCTCAGCCTCTGGCTCCCAGCAGCAGCCCCCGGGGCGGTGGAGCCGATTGCAGCGGCTGTTCCTCCCCATTCCTCCCCATTCCCTCGCAGACACATCCCCGCTGGCAGCGCCCCCGGCCCCGCCCCGGCTCTGCCCTTGGGAATGACGGAGCTGTACACAAGGAAAGTGCTGAGCCAGCCCGATCCAGGCTCACGGGCCTCGTGCACCACAGACACGCAGTTTTCCCCTTTATTTCCCCAACGAGACGAGCTGGAGGCACCAGGAAAAGATAATTCCACTTTTAAAGAAAATTCTCCGTTTTCTGTCCCGTTCAAACCCCAGCTCTAGGACGGAGTCCTGGAATCACTGACTGGTTTGAGTTGGGACCTTAAAGACCAGCTCGTTCCAAGCCCCTGCCACAGGCAGGGAGGCTCAAAGTCACCTCCCCCCACTCCCACCCCGCATCCAACAGCTGAGCACAGCCAGCCCTCGACCCCAGGAGACTCCCAAATATATGATGTGTCATAAAAAGGATATGGTAACCCCCTCTAGGTCCCTTCCTCCTGGGTTACTCATCTCCTGCATCCACAGCTGTCTGCTGAAGGGAATCCCAGGGCTCCTCCTGGAGTAAAGAGCAAGAACTGGACAGGGCAAAACACTTCTCAGGAGCTGGAAGTGCCCCAGGGAAGGGGTATCTCATTTTCTCTGCTGCACAGAGGTTTTGATGAATTCCAGACTGGTTTGGGCTGGAAGGACCTTGAAGCTCACCTCATTCCACCCCCTGCCATGGGCAGGGACACCTTCCACTAGCCCAGGTTGCTCCAAGCCCTGTCCAACCTGGCCTTGGACACTTCCAGGGGTGGGGCAGCCACAGCTTCTCTGGGCAACCTGTGCCAGGGCCTCCCCACCCTCACAGGGAAGGATTTCCAAACTAACCCTGCCCTCTGTCAGACTGGAGCCAGAAAGGGATTATTTTTGTAGAAATTAAAGGAAATCAATGAAAGCAGATGGGGAACAGCCAGGAGCTGGTATAGCCCTCAGTTCACTAGGGAAGGGAAGCACCAATCCCAGTATGGAATGATACACCCACCCATCCCTGCAACCTCCCCACATGTGCCTCATGTCCTGCATCCCTGCTGGAGCCAACACAGCAACAAGGATCAGGTAATTTTGCTGCAGGTTTCCCTACAAAGAGAACTACAGCTCAGAAATAGGCCTGGAGCTGGAATGAGGATTTTCTTGGCACAAACACCATTTCTGTGGGATAACAGGGTGGGCAGGCTTTGCAGACAGGCAGAGCAGCTCCAAAGCCCAGCTCCAAGCTCCCATTTCCACCTTGCCCACACGTTCCAGACCTCCAGCCACTAAAGCAGGAAAATTATTAGTTTCCACATTCAAAGGATCTGCCCAGCAGGAGGCATGGAAAGGCCCTGGACTGTTGGAATGTTCCCATCCTACTCTCCCATTGGCACCACATTTACTTTGGCATTGTGACGACTGGAAATCCCGCCCACACCAAGGCCAGAGCCTCCCTAAAGCCCAGCCCTACCGGGCTTTCCCTGCCTTTCCCAAACTCTCACCCTCCCAGGCAGGAGTTTCTCCAGGACACCTCTCCCACTAAAAAAACAATCCAGGGGACAGACAAACCCATGGCTGAAGAGCTGCTGGGCAGGTGTTTCCTGCCCCAAGCCCACGTTCCCAGATGGCAAAGCAGCTGCTGTCCCCTCCAACACTGTGCTCCCTGCCCTCTGCTTCCCCAGGAGCAGCTGGGATGACCCACGAGCCAGCTGGGATGTTCCATCTGGGATGACTCTCCAGCCAGCTGGATGCTTCATACTGCACAGAGATTTCCCTTCTGGCACCTCCTGCCCTTACCTTTGCACTGGGCTGCTGCAGCCTCCCCACTGGGAGAGGAATCTGCTCATGGATTGTGGATCTAATTGAAGCAGGGACCATATTTTTCAAGCTGGAGCCCTCCTACGTATGATAAGGTAAAGAGAAAAGTGGAAAGGCTTTGTCTTTCTGGTATTCCAAGTGTGCCACAGGGAAGAGAAGCCAGCATGTGCAGGACAGGCATCCCTGGGAAGGAGCCCCCAGGGGAGTGGGAGAAGGCAGGTTCCTCCCTGGACTCAGCCCCAGATCCCCAGAGCACCCGCCTGCCCTCCAAGTAGAACAACAACAGACATTTAAAGGCAGAGCTGCTGCTGGCCCGGGCTGAAGCAGCACACAAAGCATTCCAACCATCTCCTGCACAAAACCACCACAAACCAGGCCAGGCATTTATTTTCCAAGCAGAAGGAATAGGATCTGTCAGTGACATCTCGAGCTGAGGCAGCTTTGAGCTGTACAAGAATTCCAACATCACCACGGTGCTGCTGGCTGGAAGCAGCAGGGACGGGCTGCTGGATGGCTTTGGAAGATAAAGTATCTGGCTTTTGCTCCATGGAAAGATGAGGAATTTGCTTGCATTTGAGAGAGTCTGAGGTGTACCCAACTTCCAGCCAAGTCCAGCCAGGAGTCCCCACTCCCCCCAGAACAGGTTTATCACGGAGCGTAAAACAACTGCGGCCGTGACGAACAGCATCAGCTTCCCCCAGCATCCATAAACCTCCCCAGCTCCAGGGAATGGGCACAGTTTTATTAACAGGAAAATCATTTGGTCAGCTCTGGGACAGGGATTGAGGAGCACAGAGGGAGGTGGTGGACCAGGCTAGGAAGGGTTTATTGCATAGTTGTTGGCCAGAGGAGACCTGGAGCAGTGCCGCAGGGAAGTGGCCCTGTTGGAAGTTCTCCAGCTGGGATCTGGCGTGAGGAGGGAGCAGGGATCAGCACACACATCCCTGTGGACATTCTGGGTGTGAGGCTCTCTGGTGGGACAGGTGGTGAGGAGGAGGAGGTCACCTGTGCAATGTCCAACACCATCAGGGTTTTTGGGAAAGGGCAGGAACATCGGGCTCGGCCTCCGGGATTTTCATTACATGCTCAAGGGAAATCAAGGAGGTGGAATCCTTGGGCATGGATCTGTAAAAGGGAT